ATGTAGATACCGAGATTGGAAACGAAATTCAGCGAAACTACATAAAATAATAACTATCACTAGTAATAATAATAGCGTAATCATAGATTAACGTGAATGTATGACTTCAGCTAGAAGAATCATAATATACTCTATTAGTATTATGTATGTGAGCATGAAGCGCTTTTCATTATTCATGTTTCGGCTTTCATGTTTTCGATCATCTGAATTCATTATGAGTATGTCATTCATCCATGCATATGTGTCCAATTATTCGTCACAAACCGATCGCAGATCCACTGAAATTAAAGTCATTCAATGTCTCAAATCGACGCACTACAGTGTCATTCATTTCGATACTTTTATGTTCCATCCGTTCACTTCGTATCAATCAACAATCTATTATATATGCACCAGTGAACAAATTTCCAATTTCGTTCGATTCCGTTACCTAATTGATGCTGTATGAGTTACATTGATGTTGGATGGATGTTACACATCTTGATGATGTTTTTTTTTAACTCTTCCACCGTTTTCCTTTCGATTCGTTATTCTCATCTAATTTCATTGGATACCAGCAGTAGTAAATCCGTGTTATTGAAACGGTTTTATTGGAGCTACCGTGAGGCTTTATCCTTTCTCAGTCGTACTTCCAGTGATCGTTTACTTTCACTTTATTTTCGACTGTTTCGAAGGTGTCTATCTTTTCATTTTTTGCTCGGTGTTTCGAATGTGATTGAAATGTTGCTTGTAGTCAGTTCTGTGGTTGTTCAAATAAACAATGTTGAAATTTAAAAAGTGATCAGCTGAAAGATTCATGATCAGAGTTTTGAATGATCTATTGTGACATTCGGAAAGTTTTATTGTGAAAATCGGAATGATTCTTTGAAAACACTAAAAAATAACTTGAAAAAACCAGTGTTCATGAAGAAAACTTTTTGAAAGTGACGTTAGAATTGTTGAGCCGTTCAAGAATGTTCAATAATGAAGTGTTTCCGCTGAAAACATTTCCATCACTTCAACAACGAAAAACTCCTAAATGGCCACAACTTCAAAAGGTGTCAATCAGAAGCAGCAATTTCGAGGTGTAGATTACGTCAACGGAAACCAAATTATGAACCTTCAAGCGTCAATTTGTTGATTTGTTGCGAAGCTAAAGCAAGAAAGTCTTTAACTGAAACGAATCTCAAACCTGCAGAGGTAACAGGATTGTACCGTATCATCTTTCCAAATTCGATAACTTTCCGAACGGTCCCAAACTCAAATTCACAAGCGACGTTGTCTTATTTAGTTACAACCGTTCAGCTTTTACTGGTTTAGTAGCAAATACGATTTTATTCAGAGGTTTTTGAATGGTTTTATTCCTGTACTTATGAAGTTATCACTAGCCATAACTGGTGAAATTTGCTGAAGTTAACTTCCAAATTCGAAACGATCCCAAGATTCATTGCAAGAGCAAAAATCTGAACTTTCCATTATTTTCGGACCAACCTCACCCATTCAAGTGCACTAGCACTGAAACGAGCGTTTCAACCGAATAAAGAATCACTGTCCTTATATTGTCAAATTTGAAATAAATTTTCGTTGAGCAAACAGTTCATCAGCATAAAATAGTCGAAAATTCTAAAAAGTTTCATCTGTCAGTTTGATTAAGGTTTTTTTTCTTCCAAGCCATCGTTGTTTCATGTCGAACAAAAGCATTCTATCGATGAAAGTGTGCAGTTTGACTACGGTTTTCTTCCTGACAGTATTTGAGATCTCTTGTCTTAATCGCTACGACACTGCTCACTGAATGAACAAGTATCTTAATGAGCAGCTTTGTTTCTAAGTTTTATCATCGGACTTCTTTCGAGTCAACTTAAAAACGCGGAACGATTAACTCGTTCGGTTGCTATGGACTTCTGAAACAATCATGCCCTAGTTATTCTCACTAGATGCCATTAATGACTTGCTGTTGTTGAAGAGCTTTCAAATGCGGGCGGATCTGTGCAAGAGCGCAGACTGCATGCACCGAATGCACCGCATGTAATGTTTCTGGTACGTAATCAGGACAGAGAAATACGCAGAATGCAAATTGGGAATTTGATATCAGAACGGTTTTTTGGTTCAAAATGAAGAATTTTAGCGTTTTGTTGCTGCGTTCGTGGCATCTTCGCAAATTCAACTGACAATTTGTGATCGTATTCCCTGGAATGTCACTCACTTTGAATGACTACTGTATGGCACAAAAAGGATGTTCATAATTGCAATCCACTGATTCGACTCGAATGCAGCAGTCATGTCGGCATTCTTATTGCAAATAATGCGTCAATTACTGAAATATAATGATGCATGTGTTCTCCTTTCAGTCTGTTCGAGACGAACAAGAAACCAAAAAAAAANAAAAAAAAACCAAATACTTTCACCATCAAACTTGAGAATTCGTTCATCATTCGAACATTTCCTTTTCATTCTCCACAACGTTTCAATTTCCCTTCTTTCAGCAAGAACGCTATTTTATCTGCACAGTGAAGTTTGTTGAAATTTCATTTTTTTAAAATTCCCAAATGTACGTGATCCAGTCCGGGTAGAGTCAGTTCAGTGGATTTTTTCGAAATTCTTATTCCATTTCCTCCTTCCCGTTGAAGTCTTGAGGCTCTTTCGTCTTGGTTCGTTTGAAACAGATTCATTCGATGCCCTCGAAAAACATCTAACATCACCAAGGCATCTCACATTCTGAATGCCATGAAGCGATTAATGCATCACTCCAGTAATGAGCTTTCGCGTACGATCGTTCTCGTCATTCCAGAGTTTAGTCTTCCTATTGAGATGCCACATGAAACAACCATTAATGCAGGCGGACATCATCTGGATCTTTAAACCTCTCGTGCAATTAATTTCAGCCATTTCGCATACGCCTGTCTCGTCTCTGCTTGAGTAAACATTCATTTCTGCATTTTCTCTGCATCAGAATCTGCCACCTTCAATCTTCGAGAGCCTTATCTCAGTTTGCAATTGAAATACACTTTGTTTTCTCCTCTTCATATGAGCAAATGCTAGTTCATCAAATAATAATGACGATCTTCATGACAATACTCGTGCAGATAGCGTTTGCGGGAATATTGCTTCATTGACATCGTAAGATTAATGCAATAAGAGCTAAAGAAAGCGTCCAGAGGCTATACGGGAGCATGGATCATTCTTCAGAACAAATCGCTGTTTTGAACGCGGTCATTCCGAGTAGCTTCGATTCGCAAAGCTCCGTTATGCCGCACTCAGCTAAGCAGGAAAGTTCTGTTATGTTGAACTTCCAAGACCATATTTACCTAATTCAAAAATGCCTGAAGAGTAAAGTTTGATGACAGTGACTTAAAATATGATTCATTTTGACGTCTTTTGGAGACAACCAGAAACTGTTCAAATCGTTCAAAATTTCAAGAAGAAACTCTGACAAACAGCGTTGCATACGCAGTGTTTTTTTTTTGGGGGGGAGGGGGGGTTGTTATTGGGCACTAATCAAATTACTGGTCACGAGCCGCTCCATGTGCATCATATTGTTATTCTAATTATTTCAGTCGTCATTAGTCACAATGCTATCTTCATAATTATTTCNGGGGGGGGGGGGGGGTTGTTATTGGGCACTAATCAAATTACTGGTCACGAGCCGTTCCATGTGCATCATATTGTTATTCTAATTATTTCAGTCGTCATTAGTCACAATGCTATCTTCATAATTATTTCGCATGATAATATGACGACGATCTTCAAAACTATGGGCAATGACTGATGGATGGGTGATGACTTCTTAGGCATTCATTTTCGAAAGAATATGTCTGCGATCATATCTCATTAGTTTCATTCCTATCGCAATTTTGCTCGTAAAATCATTTATGTCTTGTCATTCATTTTCGTCGTTCTTCATTAATTCGTCCTTTGCAATATTTTTTGGAATTGAAAAAACGCGTTGTCTGGCGTGAGTTTATTTTTGTGCGAAATGAAGACGACGACATTTTCGTCGATTGCACTTTCGTCGATTGCAAATTCGATTTGTTGTTTACTGAGCAAAACGTAATGAAATTTTGCGCTATTCTTTGTTGAGCAGCCAGCCAGTCACCTTCCGCATGATAGGAAATCAGCCATAAGACAATTCTAGATTAAATGACTAGATGAATGGGTGCAATGTCGATTAGGGATGACAAACCTGATGTCTGAAACTGACGGATATTAATTACGTTCGCTCCAATCCACTATGTTGAGCATGTTAAAGGTTATCATATTGAGACTAAAATTCTTCATTGCTATCATTTCAATAGATATTCAGAGGCATACTTCATTGTCAAAAATACCTTCTTCAATTCACACATTTTCACGCGATGTGCCGTGGTTGTTGCTGAATCATTTTTCGGCTGAAACTCAAATTGTATTGATCGTCAGTCGTATGGTTGCCGTTTCACTGCTTAAATGAAACTTATTTGTGCACTCGCTCGCTCGAATGCCAGATATCTGAGCAGTAGTGATTGCTAGTATCTTAAAACATGAAAATTGAAGGTTCTACTGGTGTAGTAATTGATATATTGCAGCACTACTTTCTGTTGACAGTCCTTCTGCAGGGTTATTTTTTTTTGATTTGGATGTTTCAGTCTTCTTTATCTTTGAGAGCAGATATTGGCATCAATTAGAACTGATATTTTGACTTCAACTGATTAGCATAAGGCTCGTAAGCAACTGCTCTCCAGGGTCCATCAGAAGAAACCTTCCTCAGGCAGAATTCCAATTAAAAACTCTTCTTCAAATTGGTCTTCAATTTCTTTTTCAATCAGCATATTCGTAGTAAACAGTCAGCGAGATGAAAATATTTCGATTTTTGCAAGAAATTCGTATCGAAATCGCATCTTTCAACGTTGTTGCTATCATTTTTTCGTCATCGTCCGACCGTGTCTGAACGAATCATTTCAAGCAATTTATTCGACTAATTGAATCAGTTCATTTACAGTCGTTCGTTGTATGAGGGTCATCCACATACACGCGATCGGCTGACTAAAATGACTATATTTGGCAAAGGTGGCACGGCTAAGAAGGAGAAGCTCTCACCTACCGCTAACTCAGGTTTGTTGATCATACCATTCCGCGCTGCTAAACGATGCCTCAGTGAAAACATTGCGGCAGCAATTGATGGAATCAGCGTCTCAAAACTTCTCCTAACCACAAATAATAATTTTTGAACTCTATTCGTATTTGCATTTGAAAGGTATATAACAAATGAAGTATTTTCGATGTAATGATTATATTTCATATCGTATCTGAGTGAAAGCATACAATTTTAGAGAGTTCTGAATTCAAAGTTGTTGAATTTGCTGCGGGAAGATGGATGCTAAATGTTTGTAATAGGGAATGCAAATAAGCTTGTGTGAATGATTGAGGTGAGTTAGAGAGAAGTGTACTGCTTTGAGTGCACTTACTGCATTTTTCGAGCGAATAGAATATGGGGAAAAACTTAGAATGATAAACGAGTGGCGAACGGAATGGATGATGAGATTTATTCATTATCATAATGATAACGTCCAAAATTAGCGAAAGTAACTCTGAAAATGAAGCATTTCATTTCGTTCGTTCAACCGAGGATAACGAATTTTTTGAAATGTTCTTCTCTTTGGTTCATTGTGGAACGTCAAATCAATCACATGCTCACTGAAATAATTTGAAGCCTTTGCGGCTTACCCATGAGTAATATGTTTGGTTAAATATAGCATCGAAAATAAATCAACAATTGGTTTGCATCGATAATTCTGTCTGAAGTAAGAATGAAAAGAATAAATCAAGGGAATTGCGAGAATGCTAAAGGAAAGTTGTACCAGCAAAGTAAAAAATAAACATTCGAATTTGTTGGATGATTGATGATGTTATTTCGTGTATAGTTCAAAGAAGATATTGACTCGCAGAAAGTCGAGATTCACTCGAACATGAATAACAGACATAGAAATNTGATTGGTTCAAATGCAAGCAATACGAAACTATGAATATTTGCTCATGAAAAGATCAAAAACGTATTAAATGTGCAAGCCGATCTATTCATAAGATGATGAGTATCTTAAAAGAATGCCCGAGGGAGATAATGCTGCAAAGGCGCAATCTTATCGTCATTTATTCAGTTTATTTTCAATTCTACTCCCTTTTTAATCACACATTTTACTGTAGAACGATTTGAAATGCACTTTGTTTCATCAAAAACTCATAAACTCGTATCACTCCATTGATTTTTGTGCCAGATTTAAGCACCTCATCACCACTTCGACGATGAACTTCCAAACTGCGTTATGTAACACGCAAAATCTATCTCATCGTGCTTCTCGATTTTCTTCGCCAATCTGTAGAGTATCCGTGAATGCTGTCATTTTTATGTTCGCACATGCCAGCAATTCTTAACCAGAAATACGGCTTAGAAGGCAAATACAGTAATACCAATAATGTGACTTTAAATATGGGCATCGCAGCAGTGCAAAGAACTTAACGTCACAGATTTTGTGTACAACAGGAACAAATGTTTCACATTTGTTGATAAGCATCCCATAGAAAAATTCAACCGAAAATATTGTATGCAAAGGTCGTGTCCAATGTTTCAGTGTGTTAATGAGAGCTCATGAAGCCAAAAATCTTCTATTCGAATCGAAGTTCGCTCACACACAAACTCTTCTCCTTTCCGCCACCCCCATTCGCATACCGTTTTTGCCTAAAATAGGTCACATCGTCCAGGTTGAGAACCCTTAAATGTAAAGAGCAAAGTATTGATAAATTCNGCTGGCTACGCCAAACTATAGACAGAATAATATAAATTGCGAAGCAATTTCACGAACCATAATGTTTTTTTGCAAGAAAATTCAGTGGAATGGAATTGCGATGAATTGAATTTGAATGAAAATTGTTTTGTGTTTATTGGAACTCGTTTAGTGCGCGAAATGATGAGTAACAAAATTTAGGGTCAACGAAACCGACCGCTCTCGTCGATGCAGTAACTGCACCACCACGAGGTTTCGGCATACGATCGTATCTTCACCAATTCTATCAATCGCCAACAGTTGAAGATATCGAATCTGCTGGTGCATGGTTAGTGAGCGCATCTGATAATTCGTTTTGCTGTTTGCGAATGCGCCGCACAAATTGCAAATTTCATTCTTCCACATGAAGCATTTTCGTTCAGAACAATTGAAAATGTAATCTAATCGTCCTTTTGTTTCCATTAAGAATCGTTTACCTTCATTTAAATCCGCCCAACTACTAGTTCTTTTACCACCATCATATAGTTTGTGTTACAATGAAACGGAATGTGGCCTCGAATTCTCTTAACAAGTTGGTAGTTCTTATATTCATATTATGAAGCGTAGCATGGAATTTGCCGAAAATATTTATGTTTTCAAATGTTTTTTATGTTTTCATAATATTTATGTTTTTTATGATTAGCTAACAAGAGCAATACACACGAGGAATACATACATATGATATTAGCTGACGAGGAATACAAATTCAAATCTCCGTTAATTCAAATGTTAATTCAAATGAAATCTCCGTTTTGTGCTTAATGATCGCAATAATTTTATCTAACGACAAGAGCAATACATATTTCGTATTCAGGCGACTACTTCACTCAGACCTTCTCAGCAAAATGACATTTTCATGACCTTTTCGTTTGAGAACAATACTCATTTTATTCGACGAAAATTTCAACCGCTTCAAACACAACTTCATTAAAATTTCTTCGTACTTCGATTTCGACGATCAGACTCACAATAACTAGGAACATTGCACGAGTCATATTCAAGCAACTCGTTCTTTCAAATCTTTTCAACAACATCAGAATTTCTCGTCCAACTTATGCCGTGTTATGGGGGATGCCCATTGGTTTAAGAAATATGTACATATCGTCGTCAGATGAGAGTTTCAATTTCATGAGTTATAAATTTATTCGACATTCCAGTTCGAATCTCTACCAGAGTCTGTAATTCTTTTCAACCAACTAGACTTGCTGATGAAGAAAAAATGCTGAAATAAAAGAATTTCGAATGTTGATTTATTGATAAGTTACTGATTTTGAGGTATTTACTTCCGCCACCTCCAGCTCAACGCACCGGATTATACATCTGTCGAGTTTTGACCGTATTTGGTCTTCTGCTGCTTATTGGTGGCGCGGTAGCCATTGTTGTCGGCTACACATGGCCACGTGAAGGTGTCGAGGAGTCAATCGTCAAAATCGCTATTTATCAGGTGACAGAACCGTTTTTAACACAGCTTCTCACATCCACTACAGTCACTCTTCTTAGCAGTTCACTTCATCCGCCTCAATTCCGCATCACTTTTATTTAACTGTTAGGCCAATTCTCGAAAGCAATCAATCGCAGAAATATGCATTCAATCGAACCATTTTATTCAGTTCAGTGAAAAATATTTATGCAATAACTCAAAACATTGATTGCTACATCTACTTTGCCTTCAGCATGCTCCCTCATTGTTCATACTTCATCAGCCTTTAATTGTTGTTATCCATTCTCTACTTCTTGGAATACATGAAAACAGTTTTGCACAGCAAACAACCGAAAATTGTTCTATTAGTCTCGATAATAACCTTGCATTGCCTGTTGGGGTTTGCTGCCTCGATTTTAGGTCTTTTCCAGCAATAGCGAACCCTTATTAACATCCTAAAGAACAGTCGCTAGATAATGATGTACATGAGTTGAGCGCATTTGCTCGCTCACTTCATTGCATCAAGTCAATTTCGTTATGTCGATCTGAACAATATGAGAGAACAAGGATCGATTGTGTTCAGAGAGAATGGAGCCTCTTAAAGTGGCTTTAAAAACCATATAATGGCATTACATTATCCTTGATTAGAATGAGTTTCAGCTCGTAAATGCTCATACATTTCGTAATTTACAGATGCTCGTTCGTTTAGATTTAATGAAAGCGTTTCCAGGATGAGGATGGAAGTTTCTATGTTCCACCTGATAAATTGGCTGAAATTCTGCAAGATCCTATGCGGCAATGGAAAATGATTGGTGAGTTGATTGAAGTGGATCGCATCAGCTGAAAATTTCATTCGTTCGAATGATCTTGAGAGCGATCAAGTCATACGACTTGTGCAGTTTCGCTACTAAATTGCGCTCTTTTACTTGAATCTAATGATAACTTATGCTTCAGAGTAATCCAGCATAAACTAAGGCATAAAATTCGATTCAAAATGATAGAAGTTGAGTGGCAGAAGTAATGATGGTTGAGTTAATGAGTTAAGGACTGTGCGTATTCGCCGGAGGTGCTGTGGTGTTGGCGCTGAGTTTGTTGATTCCGACTTGTGCGCAGTGTTTCCACAGCAAACGATTGGCCGCATTTGTGAGTGAAGATGGCACTCCGAACGAACCACCCATACGAATCTATCCAGCTGGCTCGGCAAAACCCGAGGCACATCATCATAACGCTAAGCAGGGCACTAAGATTAGCCCAACCAGGTGAATGCTGCGGTTTATGCGTAGACTGAGCATAAATGAGTGCAAAATAATCTCAACGAATTACGCCGTAATACAGCGCCTAAACGAGCATCTAGTTTAACATATGACGAAACGAAACTGCGATGAGCCTTCGAAAAGTACAAACCGAAAGGAATGTTCATCATCTTAAGGCCATCATCCCTAGTTCAAGCTTCGTTCACATTTTCCATTTCAAAGCAATGCTCAAATTTCACCGAATCAACTGAGAAGATGACTATTAATTAGTCTCTGAGTTAAAGTATGACACATTATTGATTACAGCGGACCGGTACCGGTTATGGAAGAGATTGCGAAAGTTCAACCGGGTGAAGGTAAAATTGGAAGCGAAGGAGGGCAACTAATGGCCACTGCAAACGATCTTCTGCTCGGTGAATCTGAAACGCATTAATCGCTGACGATTTCTAACTTGACGATTTGAACGCAGAACGTCGAGGACAATTCTTTTCACGGAATCTTTCCAGTTGAGGTGCCACCATCATCAATTCCATTTTGTCGAATAATTAACCAATTAAAAATCCATAATATTCCAAACAAATTAACAAAAAGTTGAAGAGATATTACGAACATTAATTTCTTCTGAATTCGAATGAACAAATTTCAAAAAAAAGAAATTGAATGTTCCAGTGCAGATGATGATGCTTATTCACGCACTTCTAACGTCTGTAATGCATTGGAAAAACTCTATAGTCTTGCATCAACTCAACTTATGTATAATGACTTAAGAAAGTGTGAAATTTTTGTTTTCAACTTAGACATATAATCAGAAAAACGTCCTCGACAGTTCCGAAGAATACGGCGTGCGATTTGATCTCTCATATCATTATTCATTATTTTCACGAAACTGATTCCTTTCCGTATTGTGTTTATTCCACTAATTTCTTCAAGTATATATGTTGTCATTGAACCGTGTATTGAGTGTATGATTATATTGCACTCACTGGAATATTGTAGTCATTTTCTCGACTCGCTGATAATCGGTGTTGATCAGTGACGAGAGTGATTTGCGTTGTTCTGAAAGCACGGTCTTGGTGGCAATCCACACCAACATGAAATAGCACTACGCCTGTCCGATTCCAGCGGTCAGTTAACGAGCACTGCGTCAATTAGCGACCGAATCAAAAAACCCTTCCTGCTCAAAACATTGCTCATGAACCGAACACTTCATGAGTTTTTCTGTGTTGTAATCCACTGTTGGCTGATCTCGAATCGCCAACTCAATCGTGTAAACTCATCGATAATGACATCGCTAATAAAAGACGGTCAGGAGTGCTCGTTACTGTACGGTGTACCGTAACAATCGGCATGCATTATTCCTTTCCCTACAAACTTTGCTATCATCTTCAACGCAAAATGATTGGTGATGTAAAATCACGGTGATTCGTTCGTATATTTGAAACAATTACATAAGTTCATAAGAATCATTTCAGCATAGTGCTTTCAGCTCATTCGAATTCAGCGGACCAATTCACAATTGGTTAGCTCTGTTTGAATGGAATTCGACTATCGAGTAGAAAATCGTTTTAACCAGTAAGTGTGATTATAACTTACCAGTTAGCATATCGAATTGGTAATGCGTTTCCAATTTTTTGCAGAACGCATCAGCCACCCAAATGTTTTTTCCTTACTGATTGTGAGAGATTCTGTCTGATGAAACGTTTAATATTGTTGATTTCCGAAAGGAACAACGGTTGGATTGAATGAATCTGAATTTATAATATTGTGATGAGTTTTGTCGAGTGTTGATTGGTGAATGGTTGTTGAAAAATGGTGAGGAAGTGCATGAATAGCAGGTGAATAAATTATTGCAACAGCGCAATTCGATTGTTTTTTCACTTGATCATTCCGAACATGTCAGCTTTTCAAAGAGGAAATGAGAATTACACAGAACACATCAGTGAAAATTTTTTGGGATTACATTAAGTGTAAGTTAATCTGAACATGGCATAAGCTTAAGAGCTTGTTACATAAAATATTGAATTGAAGTGGGAAGCAATTCATCGCAGAAATTGATATTTTTCTGGGCAAACCTGAGAGTACGGTTAACTTGAAGATGATAACCCCTATAGTGCTCTAGTAGCGCATAGATTGATCTATAGTGATATAATGTATATGAATGCACGCAATTGCGCAAGTTGAGATAGCCTTAAGAAAATAGCTGTATCTTCTCAAGTAAGCAGAATTGCTCAAAAAGATATATGTTTCTCTCAATCTAGAGGTTCTGAGGATTCGAATGGTGTAGAGAAATTCATATATTACTGGGCAAACTTGAGAGTACTGACAGCTGGAAGATGGTAACCCCTACAGAGCTGTGGTAATGTAAACATTGATCTGTAGTGATACAATATATATGAATGAGCGCAATTGCGCAAGTTGAGATAGCTTTAAGAAAATAGCTATATCTCCTCAAGTAAGCAGAATTGCTCAGCAAAAGATATGCTTTTCTGAATCTAGAGGTTCTGAGGAATCGAATGGTGTGGAGCAATTCATATGTTACTGGGCAAACCTGACAGTACCGGTAGGCGTGAAGATAGTAAGACATATAGCTTTGAGATAGCTGAAGAAAATAGTTATATTTTCTCAAATAAACAGAATTGCTCACCAAAATATATCTTTTCCTGAATCTATAGGCTCCGCGGAATCTAACAATGTACAGAAATTGATTATGTGGAAGGTTTCTCGACTATGGCTGTTCCTCGATTTCATGCCCGAGTATCAGTTCCATCATGGTTTTCTCATTCGAACTATTAGAAGACCTTAGCTTTCTTTCAATACGCAGTCATTGCTTCTTCAGTGATGGAAGTGATTCAAAACTCTTCTTCTCAATTACCTCGAACTCTATCTAATATCTAATACATAGAACGAATGATAACTGTCATAACTTATTTACTGATTGAACTCACGCACGACTCGGAAGCTAATTCTTTTTTTTTGAAATTTAAAAATAACATTGATCATCATCACGTGTCGTGAATTGTTTGTGGTGTTGACATTTAACAATCATCATTCATTAGATTAGAATCGAAATAGAATGCCAATGGCATGGAATAACCATTTATTGAACATTGAAAACATTTATGTAGTATTAATAAGATGGAACTGATGTCATATCATACAATCACCTGAGGATCAATGGAAGTAAAAATAGTCGAAATAAGGCAAAAACAGCATAGCATTGATAAATGATTTGTCACAAAAATGATGATCACAACAGTTGCGAAATTGTATGTGCACGTTTTGTTTGTTTCGCAACTGGAATTCACTTGAGCACTATTCAAAACACATTCCACGGATAATTCGTGAAACGATGAAGTCGATTTGGGAATTTCAATTCAGACCAACTTCTAAATATCTAGAAACATAAAATATATATTCAGTGTTAGAGTACTGTACGCTTGAACACAGAAAACAGTTGAACTGAACAATACAAAGTAATATCACAAAACCACAAATTATGCGGACCCGTTGAAGACACAATGAAATGAACGATGAAAAGGAACTTAACGAAGAACTTATCCTATCAACTAATCTTAAAAGAAAGAACTCAAAACAACTTAACAACTGCAAACGAACCACTGTCAACTCGAAAAATTTACTCAAGTCAGTTCTATGATCTTTCAAAGACCTCAATAATTTGAAATCAAACGTGTTGATCGATTGCATGGGCAAACTAAGGAATCGAAATATTGTCAAACTATGGTTTTTTCCCCCAACCAGTACGATATAATTTTTGGATGCTTTGGGAACATTCTTCGCTCGATTAGTTCATAGAACAGCAGACTTCAATATACATTAACAAATCGAAAAAGCATTCCTTCATTCGAAAATACAAAATATTAGCGAATCAAATGGTTGATTAAGAAGATAGAAAAATTAGGATGAAAACAGCGAAATTTTAGATTAAAATTTTCACTAAGAGCTACCCTTATTGGGTCCGAGAAGCTTTCAATCCGAAACTTTCGTTAAGAAGCTGTGGAAGGATACACAAAAAGCAACATCATCTCTATCTATAAACCTTCATCTTACCTATAAATTATCCTCTACAAAAATCTGCGAAATGTCATCCCGGTCCGTACTTCACGCAAACTTCAATGCATTTTGTGGGACACTTTCGAGAAAATATTTCACTGATTCAAAAATTTGCATTTCAAGATGATGAAGCGTACACACAAAAATGAAGTTCTTTCACTTGAGAGGAACACCATAAAATATATTAACAAATATGCAATAAGCATAATAAAGTTTTGCATGTAAGCAGAAAAACATCTGTCAAAAATATAAACGATTAGAAAAACATGTACACACATATATATGAGAAAAAGAACGGTCCCAGATGGACTATAGAATAGAATAGGATACAGCAAAAGAATTTTGAGCAAAATAAAATCACATGTTTTTCGGCATGTCAAGATGCCTCTCGCGCTTCCCACGACTGTTACAATCACTACGATAACATCAGCAAGCTTAATTGTGGAAGATTATCACGTGAATTTTTCATGTTTCCAATGCGAATAGTGCAATTAATGATCGCATTTCGTTTTCTTTTGCAAATAAATCAAAAAGATTGCCAAACGTGATGGCTTACTTTCACTCGAAGGATGGCATTTTTCTGCTGAAAACGAAAACAACTGGTATGTGATCAGAAACCGCGAAGGAGAATGAAAGGAAACGTTGTTTGCATTTTGTTTCAAGGCCATTTCGATAAATGATTCGAATTTTGGTGTTTGCGGAAATCAGATACTGTGAATCTGCACGACGATGAGCATGGGATCTGCATGGATTACGGAGATGTTTCGCTTTCTTAAGTGAACATTGAACTTTTTGGCTTGAATCATTGGATCTGAATCATTATTCAGCGGATACGCGATTAAACGATATCGTCTCCATCTCGAACAGATTCCTCGGTGACAGTTTCAGGTGTTTTCAAAATTGACGGACGAGATGATGGTACTGTTGAAGAGACTGTCAACTGCAATTTAAAAACGGTTCGAATTCGAACAAAACAATCGGATTAGGTACTATCCAAAAAAANAAAAAAAGATCACAAAACTTTGGTATTAATAAGAATCATAAAATATCTGCGTATTATTAATGTTGTCAATGAAAGTTATCGTTAATGTTATCAATGTGAATCCGAGACACCCATCTACTGAAGTTGTCATCAAGTTCTGTTCAATATTCATTTGAGTTTATCGCCTCTAATTGGTGTACGCTTCCACTTACCACTTAAAATAATTCTAGACGCAATTTTTTTTTCATATGCATGATGTTCAGTATCTCATTATTGAACGTTTCTTCACTCATGACACTATCGTTGCAGATTCCGAGCATTTGGAAAATTTTGTTTACATTCGCTCCATCATTGCATTCCAATAAAACCTTATCGTTAGATACAAAGTCAATAAAACTATTTTTTACACATATTTCTGTCTGTGCGGAAAATTTCACAATCGAAATCAAGGAAGAGACCCTTTATCACAATTGTTAGAAATTATTACTCGTTAGTAAAAAAGTGTTCAAGTGCATTACCTGTTCATCAGCTTCTGGTACTAAACTGAGCTTTTTAGAGCTATAAAGCCTGCGTGAATTGTTCAGTTGGAGGCATACGGACGACTTATGTTCAATCAGCAAATCGGTTTGACTGCGATCATTCGACACAATCAATTCCTTACTATCATATGCAGATGAGTACTCGGATGATCTGAAAACGAGCAGAGTTTATTAGCAGTCAACTCTAAATGCAATGCATCCAGATGAAATTTTTAGGTGATGGATGTGTTTTTAGGTGACATTGAAAATTCACTTGGATTATAAGAAGTAAGCAAAACTGTGGAGGTAATTTAAATTGCTAAGTAATTTAAAATAATTTTGTTCACATATCTACTCACTGCAATGAACGATNATTTACTTTTTTCACACTTCTAGATTTTTTTCATTGCATCAGGCTTGAAGATGCTAAATTATTCGCGATAGTTAATAGAGGTTCCATCTGTTAATTAAATTGATTCGCATTAAACAAATGAGTTTTCCAGTTGAGTTAATTTCTTGCAAAAAACACAAATTGAATGAGCGAATCGGTTGGAATTACGGAGATTCCAATGAAACAAATTGCATGAACACATTTTTTGCACAGAGTTTGCTGATTTCAGAAATCAAATTGAATTTAACGAGTCTCAGCAAATCAACGAATCAGATTAAAATAAATTCATGCAGAATGACCAATAGATTGATTGGATTTCATAGTGGAATAAAACGAACTTCGATCCACTAATCAAGTTGACCATTCGATCTGGACATGTCGCCATCGAGGCTAACCAAGCGATAAACATGGCACAGCACACGACCACAATGATTATTATCGCAAGTAATTCATTCATCCTCTACGTTGTATCGTTGAATTTTCGGATTTTTGAAGGAGAAATATCTGGAATCTGCAGTTGTATGGTTATGAAAAGGTCAGTCATATCATCAACAGCGTTTCAATATTTTCGAAACATATGGGCATGATGAAACGTTCAGAAGTAGA